ACGAGAAAGTCATTTGGTACGATAAAAGTACGACATTTGAACAATGCGATAAGAAACGAGATTTATGACCAAATTGAAAAATGAAATAAATTTCTAACGGCGAATGCCAAAGGAAAGAAAATAACTCTCGTCGTGGGTCTTATTATTTGTCAAGATTGTGATTAGCCCCGACGAGAAGCTTTTTGCGGGGCCTTTTTTGAATCGGAATTAATCGGCTCGAATCTTAAAAAAATGGTGATTAACCAGAAGATTATCTCTAACTTCCAAGGCATATAATTAAGCACTTTCCCCAACCATCAGCCACTGAACAGTAAGCTTGAGTATTCACTTCACATGGCAAGAGATGTAATTGGGCCCTATGTTTGGCCTGCTGTTGTAATCTTTAGCAGAAGAGAGGGAATTCTGATTTAATGAATGACTCCAAATGCAAGGACAACTTTAGGAGACCATGAAAACTCTTTTGATTCGTGTCAAGAAAAGTTCAGCCAAGTTGGTAAAGGTGGTCACGACCCTCTCGTGCACCCAAAAGAGGACGGGATTTCTATGTTCAGTGCTCAGTTCGGGATGACCCCTCTCTCGGTCAAGTCGGTAGGAAGAAGTTCCGTTCGAAATCCCCTTGTTCTGACATGGGCGGTTTATCGGATACAAAATGTAGATTTGACTTGATACGAGAAAGCGGGTTCGAGATATCACCTATAAGCAAGAGATCTAAAGAAAAAAAAAAGGCCGGGAAAATGACACGTATGGTCCCTTAACTTTGGTCTAATGTGCAATATGGTCCTTGAACTTCAAAATTTTTCAATGTGATCCCTAAACTTTAGCTCAATGTGCAATGCCATACCTGAACTTTCAATTTATTTAATGTGGTTCATGAACTTTTGGTACACGTTCAATCTAGTTTTTGGACTATATAAAAATGTTCAATATTGTCCCTGAATTTGAATTAACGGAATGACAACATCGAACATTTTTATTTAGTTCAGGGACTAATTTGAACATGTACCATAAGTGTGGTACACCGAACAAATTAAAATTTCATGAACTACATTGCACATTGAATTAAAGTTTAGGGATCATATTGAATAAATTAAAAGTTTATGAACCATATTATACATTATGTCAAAGTTTGTGGACCATATTTGTCATTATCCCGAAAAAGGCTATATTGAAATTGCTTTGGCTCGTTTTCGTGTGGGTGGAGGTCATCAGCTATTCTTTTTGCCAAAATGGGAGAATTAGGCAACGACCAAACCGCGTAAGCTTTAAACGAAGATGGAGTAATTGAAATCGGCCAAAGGTACTTACTTGGTCGGGTCTTCCATCACTCGTCCCACGATAGCGACGGCTCTTCCCCAAGACGGGGCATCTAATTTGCCAGCAAAACCCAATTAAATTGCCAACTAAGTCTATTTGTTGACTGTCATAAACACCGAAACATTCGCACCGCTTATCCATGAAATTTATACGCCTTTCTCGTACGCTTTCGAGTTGCATGTTCTGACCTGATATCGGAGTTAGGGTCTGTCTCATTTTATTTCGCATATACGACCTCTCGATTTGCGAATTTTGATTTGTCGTTCCTAAATTCAACTCGTCCATGAGAGGAGTTTTAAAATATTTTGTAAATGGGGTTTGTATGCCTTTTTATATGCATGGTCTACCTCCAGTTCTAAGCATAAGTTTTTGAGTTTGACATTTTAAAACAAGCACAATCGACTGTGTTAGTTGATGATTCCTATTAACCACATCGGAGCTCCTGTCAAAGGGTTTTTGTTCTGATTTTCTAGCGATTAAGTAGTGGACTTCTCTCTCATGAAAGTTGCTTACGCTAGGACTTGAACCCATAATCGCCTCGAGGCGGTTTTGAGTGTTGAGGTTTCATTAGCTCGTTGGACTATGAATAGACATTGGATTCACATTCGCTCTGTCCACAAACAACGGTAAAATAACTCTCGCTGCTTTGTCTAGACATACTCATATTTACAGTTTAATTTATTCATGGATCGATCAAATTTCTATTGAACATGTGATAGAATCTCAACATGGCTGGCAAAAGAGCACTATCTTTCCAAACACTCCAAAGAAACTTCTCATTCACGCTTCTCGTGCAAAAGGTGATTTGTTCTCTTCTCCCAAACGAATGGAAAGAGAACACCCGCACCACCACTAGCAATCATGGGTCTATCCCCTTGTCAATAGATAAGCCACAAGGGCATCCATCTCTAACCGCTTGAAAGGTGGGTTCTCAACTATAATTGCCACGAGAAAGAAAACGTGCCAACACACCATCATATGCCAAAGAGAAAAAGGATACAAGGGAAGAGAGAGAGAGAGATCTTTCACTATGCCTCGACATAAAACCTCGGATTGAAGGGTATGCACATCATGTTACCATTGGTCCATTCCTCCATTTTCCTCTTAAGTGGTCCATATATAATGAAAGATACACATCGACCCTCGTTTCTATAAGGTACCATGACTATGATAAAAGTCTCCATGGAAGCAAACTGTATGATATAACGTATGCTCCATCGCTTAGTTATCCCTAGGAGGCTACGCATGAGCGTGTGGGGGTGCGCATTCAAATGATGGTGGCCATGAACATTGACCAATGTTTTGTGATCGCATGCCAACCAACACATGAGATAATCATCAAGTTCGCGCATTGTGGACATATGTGCTTGAGATTGGGAACAATCGGTGCGTTATAGATTAGAAAATGGGAAAGTCTCGAGAAGCCAAGAGAACAGAATCGAATATTTGTGTGAAAGGAACACAATCTAAGTGGCCCCATCTTGGGTGTTCAATCGGTGAGGCAACCTTAAGAGGGCTGCGATTCGGAAAGCCACTAACTAGATAATTAAGCGATTGGTCAATATGAATTTATGAGCTATATTTTGTATTTAAGTCAAGGTCTTTCTCACTTGAAGCAAGTTTAGGATGTGGGCAGGATGATTTGTATGTACTCATAAAGGCTAGCCAAGCTGAAGGTTTGAATATCTCGTGTTATGAAAAAGAACTTTGATTCCTATTTTTGAATTATGTATGTATGAATTTATATGCCCGTGTCAAAAGAGGTTTCTATTTTCGAATCGTGGCACGATGGTCATCAAGACATTTGTAAAATTACTCGTCAAACTCTTTAACTACAAAAGAAATTACATCATATATAATGAGTTGTAACCAACTATAGCATGTGATACTTGTTCTAACCCAATTTAGATTTGAATTATGAAAACATGCACAAACTATTTGACTCGTTTTTTCTCGTTTTGTTGCATATGCACCACAAAACAACACTATCTAGAATGGAGGTGCCTACCATTAAAAGGATGAAAGTACAATGAAAAACATGTCGAAGAAAAAATCTAATCAATACCATATGATATGCTTAGGAACATGAATGGTTGAAATTGTATGTAAGTTCAAAAATCTATACAGAGCTTGTCGAATCCCGCGGATTGCATGAAAGGAGGATACTCCAAATTCGGGACATCAAGCACTTAAAACTTTTGGAACATGGAAATATTAATAATTATTTGTTGAGCTTCCTGTAAAAAAATTGAAAATTATGATTATGATAAAAAAAAAGGTCGTCGAGGGCGCACTTATTCCTGAAAAATGAGAAGTCAATGGAGTAAAACGGTAAGGAGAGGAAGGAAGTCAACGACTCGACGAGGGCAAAAAATCGGGTCAGTTTATTTTCTCGCAGAATCTCGATATTTCGATGGGGAACGAGGGGCGGTTCGGTAATTTCCCGGGGACGCGAAAGAAGGGTGGGGGCCCTCGTGATTGAAGGCGGGGAAGTTGGGCCGCGCGGATCGAAGAAATCATGGGGAAGGGCGCGAAAAAGTTGGTCGGTCTCGTACGCTTCTTTCTCCTTCCTTCCCCCACCACCACCCCAAAAAAAAAAAAGAAGAAAAAAAAATTTTAAAAAAATGAGGTCGATAAAAGAAGGGAAAAAAGGGGAGGAATTTGGTCAAAATTATTCGCTCTTCCCTTTTTTCCCAATGTGTATAGATAGCACATTTCTTACTACAAATGAACAGAAAAGAGGAACGAGCCGTTCATGGCGAGATCCCCGCCCTTCGATCCCGGAACGTTGGTGGTCGGCGGGCGAGGCCGTCGTCGCGAGACGCCCGGATCGGACGGGACGTGCCGGGGGGGTGGGGGGAAATGATTTTCCGGAAGCCGCGAAAAGGGATTGGGAGGGAAAAAAAAAGAAAAACTAAATATTAATTTGGTTGGTGGCAAAAAAGAGAAGAGCTGGAACAAAAAAAAAGCTGGCAAAGGTTTACTCTGAGAAAGGCCCTCTCCCCCTCTCCATCAGCTCCTCCGCATCTCCAATTAGTCAAACGGTTGACCGAGCTTAATGTGCATTGCCCCAAAGCCAAGATACGAGACAGAAGATAGAGAGAGAGAGAGAGAGAGCTATCATTCCTATCTATTATTTTTATTTTTTACACAAATTTAATCGTGAAGCCCTTTTTTTTTAATTGCGAAATTAGAAGGACGGGAGTGGACGACGGGCGCGGCAATCCCATTTTTTTTTTTCCTCTTTTTTTTTGTCTCTAGCTATCAAGTAAATTATTGCTCGAGAGCAGACATTTGGTCGATAAATTTTACGGTCACATGGCCCCGATCCGAAGCTATCCTATCTATCCACGAGAGGCTATTAAAAAAAAAAGCAAAAATATAAAAGAAGAAGAAGAAGTTGTTCCTGACCTGTCGCTCTCTCCGATCTTAATTTAATCCAATCCAATCCAATTAACCCGAATTAAATTAAAAAAATCAAAATCGAATAATTCAAATATCCTAAATTTTTTCTTCTGTTTTGGAAAAATCCTCAAAGCATAGAAATCTACAACTCACTTTTGTCTGCTTCCGCGAGCTCTCTACTCTCTCTCTCTCTCTCTATCACTTCACTGTTGGGGGTCTTTTGTTTCGTTCTCGTGGGATTATTACCACATGCCCATGATGTAGCTGAGCTTCCTTCAACCCAACTCTCTCTCTCTCTCTCTTCTCTCTCTCTTCTTTCTCTCTCTAGAGGCTTTGTCGTGTCGCTCCGGCGAGCCACCAATGGCCAGGCCCCTGCTGCTGCACCTGCACCTTCCCCTCCTCCTCCTCCTCCTCTTCCTCCTCCGTACCACGCAGCGTTGTCGCTTCCTCCTCCCCCCCCTTCCCCTGCAAATGTAGCAGGCTCTGTCCCAGATTCTCTTCTCCCTCCCTTCTTCCTCTGCTGCTGCTCCTCCCACTCGCTCCCTTCGATCCGTCCCCCGCAATGTGCATTCCCTGCTCCTTCCCTCCGCTCCTCCTCCTGTTCTGTGCCGAATCTGCGGGCTTGGGTGCTTCGACGTTCTGGGTTCGAGCGGGATTTTGAATCTGGAGAGTGTGTTGTGTTCCCGGAGCCGCATTTTGCTGCTGCTGCTGCTGCTGCGCTTAGCTTGGCTCCCGCCGCTCGTGTCCTGAAGATTTGGTTTTTCGCTCTCTGGGTTCTTGCTTTGTTGGGGGTGCTCGATGTTCGGGCAGCTAGTCAAAAGGCATTGGCTCTCTTCTCTTTTGAATCTGCCTCCTTTCTTTTTCTTTTGAATGTTTTACGTGATGAGGGTGTTTGTAGTTTGGAGATTCGTGTCGGTTGGCTGCTTGCGACCGTCTCTCTGTCTGTCTCCTTTTTCTTTTTGTTCTGCTCAGCGCGGCATTGCTTTCAAGGGGCGTGTTTCTTGGCGAGAAATGTAGGTAACGAAAGGGAAAGAGACGCTGCCGGTTTTTGAAGACATTTTTCGGGATACCCGTGATAGCTTCCTGCTAGCTGAGTCGGACGAGGCCATTCGCGGTAGCTGATGTGAGTGTTCAGGTAAAGATTTCTGCTCTGCTCTTGGCTGCTTGCGACGATGTGAACGAACCCGTTCGATGTAGCGCCGTTGAGATAATGTTTACTCACGAGGCAGTTAATTCTTTTGAGTTAGAAAGTTATGATATTTCTATTTCTAGCCATTAAGCCCATTTACATTGGCTAGGGTCCAGGTAGAGAATTCTGCTCTGTGCTTGGCTGCTTGCAACGATTTGAACGAACCCGATCGATGTAGCGCCGTCGAGATATTATTTACTCACGAGGCATTTAATTCTTTGAGCTGGAAAGTTATAATTTCTCTCATTTCTAGCCACTAATTTCTGAAGAAAAGATGTTACCACTTACTAGCGATTTTACTTCTGCTACATATTTTCTAGCAGTGTCACACTTTCTCATCATTTATTTCCAGCTACGTGACTTATGCTTATTCATTGATCTGTGAGTTTGCCCAAGTGTCTTGTTTGCTTGGACGATGAGAAGTTTTCCCAGCGTTTTTTCTGACATTGGGAACGGAAGATTTCGTCTGATATCGAAACTCTCGTTTTCTGTTCACCTTCCTGGTAAATGCAGGCATTATAGGTATAATCAACATGGAGCAATATGAAATACTAGAGCAAATCGGCAAAGGAGCTTTTGGTTCTGCTCTTCTCGTGAGGCATAAACATGAAAAAAAGAAGTGAGGACTATTCAACAATTGCTCTTGTTTATTTCCTTTTGTCTAGTCTTTCAAAAGCAAAAAAAATTTGCAGGACCAGCATTCATTTATCTGTATATCTGTACCTAGGATGTCTGATTCTGTGGTCATTCTTTTCTGCTTGTCTGTATGTCATTAAGGTATGTGTTGAAAAAGATTCGTCTTGCTCGGCAAACTGATAGGACCCGTAGATCTGCACATCAGGAGGTTGGTTTTTTTTAAAATTTTTTTGTTCCTAAGTTTATACTCTTTGCTGCTATTCATATTTGTCCTTCTTAAAGCCACCCCATTGCTGTCAGACTAACGTTTCCTTGTCTATTCATGCTATATTTATGAGGGTTTCTTGTTAATCTAACTTCTAGTTGTTGAGCAGTATGATTTAGTGGCGTTCACTAGAGAATATTTGCTACTGAATATAATGATTAGCTGGAGGCGAAGTGTATTTCTGATAATGTACTTTGACTATTACGTGTTTGAGAAACTGTTTGAGCTAAACGTCGCTTGGACTATTAGGAACTCTGACAACTTATTTTTCTAGCGTGTAGCCTTTTGAAGCCGATTAACTGAGTACGTGTGCTGAACATACTTTCAGTTGCTTTACTGGAAGTGGAAACTTCAATTTTTGGTTTTAAGTTGGCTTGTCTATCTTTATCTTAACCTTTTCTATGCTTTTTGCAGATGGAGCTTATTTCTAAAATGCGGAATCCATTTATTGTTGAGTATAAAGATTCATGGGTGGAGAAGGTAAAAATTCATCAATCGTGTATGTTCTAAGTATAATGTATATTGCTGTATAGCATGCATTAGTTCTCTGCCTTTTGACAAATCAAGTTATATCTGATTTTGCACTAATCTTCTGGAAATAAATGTTAAGAATATCCATTGACTCCTTGCACAATGTCTTTTCTGATGAAGCTGTTAAGTATTAGTCCTCCACTGCTCAACCTAAGTATATATGAGCTTTGGTTATTTTACTTTTCCTTTTGTGACTCTAGCTTTTGCTTTTGTATATGGGGCCTAACTTTAGCTCGAAAATGCCTCTGTCTCAGGGTTGCTACGTCTGCATAATAATAGGTTATTGCGAAGGAGGAGATATGTAAGCTCTCCCTTTCTGAAGTTCAGATGATTGATCTGATTAAGTCATAAGCTGAATCATTGCACAATCTTGGATCCTTGCTCACTTATTGGCTGTGTGCTACAGGGCTGAAGCTATCAAAAAGGCTAATGGCATTCTTTTCTCTGAAGAGGTTTCCACTTTTGTTCTGTTTTCGTTGGTGCAACTTTAAGTTTACCTTTATGATGGTTAACAATGCAGTTCTTGCCGCATTATGTTCTAACAGTCCTATTCATTAGTTATTTGTTGTCCTTCCAGAAACTATGCAAGTGGCTTGTGCAGCTCCTCATGGCGCTTGACTACTTACACATGAATCACATCCTCCATAGAGATGTCAAGGTTTGAGGCATATCTGTGTAATTTGTGACTGTATTGCAATGTTCTAATGTTATTCATACTGATTCTGTTCTGTGGTTTCTTTAGTGCTCCAATATATTCTTGACAAAAGACCAGGATATACGTCTAGGTAAGTGATTCTATTCTTCTATTATTCGCTTAGAGAACGTCATAATTGTCTGCTGAACAATCAGTGATAAATCTTGTGTACAGGTGATTTTGGACTTGCCAAGATGCTCACTTCTGATGATCTTGCTTCCTCAGTATGTTTTGCCGTCTCTCATCAAACCAAACTTCCATGAGTTGATGTAGCATAGTTCCTTTTTCTTTTGGCTAAGCTAGCAAGTGAGTTGTATATAAAATGATCGTGGAAGCAGTTATTAAGACTTAGCAGAGCAGCTGCTGCAAACAACAAACCAGATAGCCACTGAACAATGGAACTGCAACTTTGCTAGCTACCAATTCTATATGATACATCGCCCTGGAATAGCATAGTTCCTTATTTACTTTCTCTTTCGAATCATTATCTGTTACTCAGGTCGTGGGAACTCCCAGCTACATGTGTCCAGAGCTTCTTGCTGATATTCCTTACGGTTCTAAATCCGACATTTGGTCTCTCGGTAAGCTCTGTGTACCTGCTTGAATGCCCTTTTCCTTATTTTTAACCAGGACAAGAGCAGGAACTACTATTGTTACCCTCCTTTGTATTTTATTGTTAATTCTGCTGGTGTATCTATTGGTCAGGATGCTGCATGTATGAAATGACTGCACATAAGCCTGCATTTAAAGCATTCGTAAGTGCTAAAAGCCATCTTTTCTTCCTGAGAATGTTGGTAGTGCCTGTTTGTGCTATTATTACATCAGACCTATATTAAATTGGTACAGTGAATTTCAAAATTAAGGTACCAAGGAGAACTTTTTGATTGTGCTCCAATTTCTCTCCTGAATTTACCGCAATCTAATTCTGCTTGCTTTGTATTTGCTATGTGCCCCAGAATTTCCTTTATACCATGGGTGTGCTCAATTTCTCAAATTTGGTGTGTACTTTCGCAGGATATGCAAGCACTGATAAACAAAATCAACAAGTCCATAGTGGCTCCACTTCCTACAAAATATTCTGGGGCATTGTAAGTCCTAAAGTAATGGGTATTGTGTTTCCCGGTTTTGCAATAATTCTAATATTATTGCTCATTTTCAATTTCAGCCGGAGTCTTATCAAAAGCATGCTGCGGAAAAATCCAGAACTCAGGCCAAGTGTATGTGGTTCCTCTCTAAATATAGCTCTCTCAAGTGCATGCATACAGATACCTTATTCTTTGCTGATCTCAAACATGTAGCCAACCTGTTCATCATGCAAGTTTCTGCTTGATTGACCGTTATCTTTGGAGCAACAAGTCAATTAATATGTCACTTTCTTGAGGAGGTCTCTTTTTTTCCTTCTACTTGAGATAGGACAGCAGATTACATTGTAAATACATAACATGGACTCTGTGGTGGATGCAAAATTTTAAGTCATTGCAGGCGACAAATAAGAAATTTACAAAACCCTACTCAAGGGAGACAAGATAAAGAACTTTAAAATTCGCAGATCTTGCAGGTATTTCAATTCCAGCAAACCTTTCTGAAAGTCTTCCACTCGTCTTATTGTTAGTGGAACTCAAATTTTGAAGAGATGTAACACACAATCATTAAATATTGCACGGAGTACCTAGTTACCAGCCCTCATTATGTCTGCCCCTGCCTATGTTCTGGTTATGGGATATAGAGAATGGAATTTGCGTGTTCGCTTCATGAATCTGTTAGCATCCCTTCTCCTATTGAAGTTAATTTTTATCCACTTCAGGCTGCTGAACTGCTTGGTAACCGACATCTTCAGCCTTATGTTCTCAAAATACAAATGAAAATCAATTGCCCCAGACGCAATACATTGCCTGCCCAGTGGCCAGAAGATGCTCGGGCTTACAGGAAATACCGGTACTCGTCCAGCAATAATAGGGCCTTGAATCCGAGTATATCTGGTGCTGAGCACGATTCTGTTTGTTCCACTGAAGGAAGATATGTTCCTAGTTATTTAAATGAGAGATTCGAAGAACTGTCAGTTGGAAGCACACAAGGCACGGTGATTTGCAAGCCGATTTATTCAAAAGCATCCAGTGTTGTCAAAAACCCAAAAATAAGTCCTGCAAACGCTTCTGCCACTCCAAAAAAACGAACAGAACCACTGAAGAAGCGTGAATCAGTAAAATCAGAAACCCTCCTTTTATTTACATGCACCATTTAAATGCTTGAGTCACTGTTCAGTACTTATGGTTAACAATTTTTAGGTCTTTGACTTTATGCTTTACTCTTTGTCCATTGTTTTTCAGCTTCCTGTTTCACGTGCTCCGGAGAATCCTGTCCCTGCAGCTCGCAGAGCATCTTTCCCGCTGCCCAATGATAATGTTCTCCACCATCTGAAGTCTCCTGATGTATCTGTCAACTCACCACGAATAGACAAGATAGCTGAATTTCCACTATCTTCGTGTGAAGAACCCTTCTTATCTATTCGGAGAACTTCTTCAATGTCTGCCCAAGGTTCCTCTGGCTCCCCGCATTATGCAGATGGATCAATAACGAAGGACAAATGCATGGTTCAGATTTGCAACAAATCTTCTAGAAAGCCCGCTTATTCTGATCTCTGGCAGGGGATTCAGAGAAGCATGTTTCAGGTTGAGAAGGAGGATGGAAGTGACTCTTCTAACCAAAATGCAACTGCAGGGGCATCAAGTCGCACTTCGTGCGACTCGCGGCGGCGCCGGTTTGACACGTCATCATACCAGCAAAGGGCCGAGGCTTTGGAAGGGCTGCTTGAGTTTAGTGCGAGGTTGTTGCTGCAGGAAAGGTACGATGAGCTTAACGTGCTCCTCAAGCCATTTGGGCCTGGAAAAGTTTCCCCTAGGGAAACTGCCATTTGGATAACCAAGAGCTTCAAGCAGAATACTTTGAAACCAGAAGATTAGTTCGACAGAACCAATGCCACGTGTAGCATAATTGTTAGTCGTAGTTGATCAGAGTGGGATTATAGAAGCTTGTCGACGGGGATGGATACGGGAGGCACTAGGCACTTAGGCAGACTAAACGAGTATTTAGGTTAGAGTTCCGGGCACTTACAGTTTTGCCACTCCGTTTTATGACCTTCCACTCGGTATCATCTACATCAATTGTTCAAATCTAAGCTGACAGTGACGTTAGTTCCACTGTAGTGTACGTATTGACTCATTTACTTGTTATAATGAATACTGGCTAGGACGAGTCCTTGCAAATAAGACCTCTCTCTCTCTCTCTCTCTCTCTCTCTCTCTCAAATGCGTGTCAGTGTGTATGAGCAGGCAGATGCATTCATGGAAATTGGATACAGAATGATAAGTAGTTAGGTGCACCATCCGTGAAGTTAGCATGAATGGACAGAAAATCTTTTGATTTGGCATCGTAGAATTGCAGATTTTTACCAGTAATGGGCATTTGTCTAGGTTATTGAACATGTAAACAGTGGTAATGCTTTTTCTCTATGCTCCACACAATTACAATCCATATCTGAATCTCTTGGTGACCAAAGAAATATCTTCTGCGTTCTCATGTGCAAAGCCACCTCCTTCGCCACGATGACACCACACTCGGGTCTCCGAAATATGCTTTATGCCTTCTTCAGAACATAGCCAAATGCGGCTACAGCAAGCATATCCAAAAAGTTCAAGATCTTTGTTAAGAAAGTACTGAGTAGAAGTCATGTATGTAGTGATGTGACTGTGCTTCAATTGAAATCGTACCTCGTAAGCGACAAGAGATCTGCTATAGTTGGAATGACTAGTCACCTTGCTGGTGGTCGTATCACTCTCGCTGTCCTTCAATGATCTCCTTGACTTATAGAGCTTCACGAACCACGGTTCTTGATTTTCTCGAGAAGCGAGTTTCGCCCCCGGAGCGAAGTCTCTTGACTGAGTCTCAAGCTGTATGCTTGTACCATCCACCGATGGGGTCCGCTTGCTCTTCTGCCGCGCGCTTCGCTTGGGCCGCTGCTTCGGTTCACTCTGCGACCTGGTTTTCGCCCTCGACGACTCCGTTTTTGCCATGTAATGCGGCACCAATGCATAATTCTGAGATGCAGAGTCCGCAGTATCTGTGTGATGAAAAGTGAAAGAAGCTCTTGTTGATCTCGTTTTCGTGATGACAGACCGATCGTCTCGGGGAGTGTTTTGTGCCGAGGAAAAGAAGTATTCCTCGTACTGTTGTCCTTGTCTCACTACCGAGACGTCCCCGGAAAAGTAAGTGGTAAAGCCTTGCTCTGTTCTTCTTTCCACCTTTGGGCGATTGAAGTAGCCACACTTGCTCTTTGAGACTTGGCATGACTCTATCAGATTTCTATCCAGTGGTTCCTGTTTACTCAGGAGTATTGTGAAGATTCGTCACTAATTATACTACCGAATTGCAGATCACTATGTTATTCTAAAACGAATCGATCATCACTAAATACAATCTCTGAAGGAATGTACAAACTTCAAAGTTTTGAATTGCGTTTTGTGCGTGAAAATGAGATTGTCACTTACTTTCTGTACTTTTCTGTTGTCACCATCCTGCGATGAATTTCTATGGACTGATGACAGCCTAGGAATCACGACTTGCGCTTCCTCTGCCATCTGGATCCTTTGAACACGGGCTCGAACTTGAATTGACATTAACGCGTGCATGCACCGTATAGTGGCTGTAGTTTGCTTCCTCACAAGGAAACCTCTCACAAGGGCTTGTAGCTTGACTAAACTCCTTAAAGCACATAATGCTTTCCTTGCCTGCAATTTTTGGTATCAGATGATAATAAATGTTTAAAGCTATGATTGGTATTACAAAAATGCAGTCAAATTTCTGCAACACAGCACAAGGATCCTTACATCTAGGCGACATGAATTGCTTTATCTTAATTGACATATTAGAAACGGCTATAACAAGAATTACCGGATGAACAATGATACTTACCAAGTAAGAGCGAAAGGCGGCTTGTATTTTCGTCGCGGCTGCATGTTTATCACTGGCTATGGCCAACAATGCCAATGAGCGATCACGCTGAAGCTGAAACTCGGTCTTTGCTTGCATCACTAGCTGAGCGGTCTCGACCGAGTCCATCGACCTCGAGAGCTTGTGCGCCTTGCCTTTGGCTGGGGATTTCCCGAAGCTCCATCGCCTTTTTATCTTCGGAGCTGGTGGTGGTAAACTGCTGCTAGTGGTCACGTACACGGATAAAATAGAAGTATTGATCTTCTTGTTATCTTTCTCATCCCTTTTCCCTAACAAGAAGTTTCGGATCCATCTGCTTGCCTTTCCCATCTTCCTAGTACCACAAAATGGAACAGAAACAAAATTAACATAGACCCTCTTTCTGAATTGCTGTATACTATGAATTTGGTACTTATAGAAAATAATGAAGCTCTTGAATTCATTAGCTTTTGTTGTATATAATGATTTTTGTCCTGGTTTGACTTGGGCAGTGTGGACACGAGTGATTTAATCAATAAAGTGTTTGGTTGAGGCCTGCAAATAGATTTCACTTCCTGTCTTGCCATTTGCCATTCTCCTGAAGCTCATAACTTGTAAGGTTGTCATCATCCGAAACTCCTTTTCTGCATTACAGAAACTGAAGAAGTATCTAGGAATTCATTTTTTTAATGCAACTTGATTGAGTCTCGGTCCGTAGCCATTGTTTGACATAGGACGAGACCATAGCTGATCCCAGTGGGTGTCGCGTGTATTATGATTTATTAGCGCGAACGGCTATGTACACCAACGGGGTGAGTTCACATTCCACTAAACACGTGTATCAATAGGGAAAACAGATGGGGATGCCCTTTTGTTCCTGGCGTTTTTTTGAACTCCAACTCGAGCACTTTCGATCTTCTTAGGAAATGCAAAACATTAGATCGAAATGGTCTCAATGTTAGGATTTGGAGTTATGCAACATCTAGATATAAGTATAACAGCAATTACACGGGCGAGAGATCGATGTTTTCTACTTTTAACCAGATCGACCAAGGAAAAGGGGGATTTAAAAGGATGAGAAAATGAGCTGATAGACTTCCTTTTTTCTCGTAAACATAATAGTGCATGAAGAGCTACTCTGTTCTCAAGACAATGAGGCTCACAATGTGTAATAATGGGCCCAGCCCAGCCCAAAACCTTTACAATTCTAGCCTTACAAACTTAGCTCCACCGCCTAAAACAGAGGAGAGAAAAGGGGGGGGGGTTTCGTACAGTAATACAGAGGTAGCAAGAACCGCAGAACGAGAGAAAAAAACAAAAAAAAAATCACCTCCGGACGTCTAGACAAGCCGGACAAACTCCATTTGCAGTGTTCGGTAAGTATTTGAACCCTTTATTCGTGTAATCGGAGTAATTGTCAGAGTTAAAGTCATAAATTCGAAGATATGAGAATTTTGAACTGCAAGATTCGATCTAGGAGATGTTAAACTGAGGAGTTTTATGAAAATGATACGTCGTTGTTGTAGGATCTAATGAAAATCGATTCTGAATTACAGTTTGATCAAACGAATTTCTAAAGTTTCGCACTCAAACTCAACGTAGAGATAGCTTTGAAGAACTGTTTTGGGCAAATGGTTTGTTAGCACGTAGGAGTCGTTTTGTTAGCAATTAAGTTTGGTTTAGTCGAGCAGTAGCTTAGGTAGCTTATTACTTAATTTTGATATCGTTTTTCGATTAATTGATAATAATATGAGTTCGTCGGCTTAAGTAACATTCATAGTTTGGTTTTCAGCTTTCTCAGGTGAGTGATATTTATTTTTTGATTTTGTAAAATTCATGTCTTGAAAATGATTGAAAGAGACAATGTGAGCTATGGATTTATCACTTGGTTTGATATTCCTTTGAAAGAAAAGTAGTGCTTAGGGCGTATTGAATGCATAAAACTGGATTGAGCATTTGTTACTGTTTTTTCTATTGAAATGACGATATATTTGTTGATTACAGTTTGAACTGATTGTCCGTAAATGGTTTGCGAAACCTTTTATGAAAAAATTATGAAAAGTTCCTTATTTATGAATATGGTTTATGAAATTTATTATATTTAATATATTGAAACGTGAAAAGTTATGTGTTTTGGTTAATGAACCTGAGTTTTGAGATGGATTGGTTTAATTTGTGCGTTATTGGAGAATGATGTTAATGGATTATGCACATGTCGCTATGATTAAGACCATTGAAGGGTAAATATGCATATCATTATTAGGACGTCCATCTAAAATGAACCACCGGCTGATATAGGTGGAAACCTAGCCGAGCAGGAAACTTGATTGTCTTTGTTATTGGCGTTAAGCATGACTGTAGTTAGATACTAAGCATTAGATTGATCAATGAAATAGATCAATGACTTTGACTTGATAGAGATTGATCAACAGAATGGAGATTGATTTGTTATTGTTGATTTAATATTGTCGATTGATTTAATATGTAATAAGTTTTGTTGGAAAGATATAACCCACTTTATATATTTTACTTATGTTGTATACTGAATTTGGGATTTATGAATATGATATCTTTTTAGACAAATGCATAGTGAATGTTTAATATGCTTCGAAAAATATACTACTCACCGGACTATGTTTTTCCAGGTTTTACAACTATCGTTGGATAGGAAGAGTAATATCGACAGGGAATTTTGGGTATAAGTTGAGATAGTTGTTTGTGTGCGTGTCTAAGGTGGTAATTGTTGAGGTTTAGCTTGAATGTTTAAAGATGTATATTCTTTTTCTCATGGATTTTAGAACGTTAATCTTTACTGCTCATTCGGAAATATAGATTGGGATATATATTCAAATAACATGATCATTTTGGCTATATTTGAGACTGTCTCTTTTGGGTAGGAGGATGGCTGTGTCACTCCCCTACACTTGCAAAGTATCATGTTAATCGCTGATGTGGCACGCTTTTTTTTGCTCCTATCCAATAATAGATTGACACGTGTAAGCTCAGTTGGAATAAAAAAAAAATTGATTTTTCTCATTTTCCTCCTCCATCCACTTTTCTCTTTAGATTTGGTTGTCGTCCAAGGTTGCTGGCACCACGTTTAGGCATCTTTTTGGCCAACTCTTTAGATTTGGCCATTCATTAGGGGTGAGCGGTTCTAGTTTCGTACGGATTCCATCTCGAACCTGAAATCTACCCATGAGAACATATTTCTTATTTTTTGGAACCTAAAGACTACCTTACATACCTTGGAACTTGGAACTTGGAACTTATCTAGTCACGGGTTCGAGGGTCGATTTTAGGGTCTACCTAGGTTCCACTTATATTATCGGTGAGGTTATCAGGTTCTACTCTGAAACCATGAACCATGTTCACCCCTACCATTCATGGCTGCCGGCGCCAAACGAGCCACCGGCGCCAAACGAGCCGTTGTCACTCACGGCCATGGGTCCGGATATGAAAGTTTGCCCGGGCCAAATTTGGAAGCACCGGCCATGGATAAGTAAGGACGATGGAGTGGGTGGTCCGCTTGGACACGCACTAGTGTAGGTGGACATGATCGGACTTTGCTGCTTGTAATCGTTTATGTGGAGACTAGATCTAGACTTCGTCGCTCGCAGTCGTCAGCTGATTTACAGTAATGGCAACCGGATCTGGACTTTGTTTCTTCTAGTCGTTTGGCGTCGGTGGATGGACAAGCTCTAATCACGGCTCGTTGCAATGTCGTTGCCTTCGATGGATGGACGAGCAAAGCTTGCGGCCATGGGCGAGGCCTGATTTGGACAAGCAACAATGGAGCCGACCGTGAGCGATGACAGAGGTGTAGCTTGAGCCGATCACAAGTGATGCGGGAAGGGGTGGCCAGACGGGGTGGTGCTTTGTGATGGAGGAGGAAGAAGAGAAAAATCAAATCTTTATTTTTTTTTTATTTCACCTTAGTAGACGCATGTCAACCGTTTATTGGACAGCAGTAATAAATGCATACCATATTAACGATTGACGTGGAGCTTTATAATTACTGAATATTTTCTCGACACAATGTGCTGAGCATGACGTACAAAAATTAGGAGCTATCCATGAGCCGAGCGGCATGTTGAAGTCATGCAAAAGCATGGTCTAGAATCCGTAAGGTTGCACCGATTTTCCTAGTGTTCTCACCATACATCTCGATTGAACATGTTGACAGTAGTACATCTAGAAGCTGGCAGCGTACATGCGTGATCAATTTGCCGTCCTGTTTTGTGTAGTTTTGCAACACAAAGTCATGCTCAAAAACCAGAAAATTTGACTTCTGAAAAGGACGAGAAGAACCAATCCACCGGAGTTGCAAACTCAAGAGTCAACGCACCAGCAATCAAGAGAATTCTGGGAAAAGAAGTAAGAGAAACGGCAGGCCTCATGTGGTTTTCCAGTCCTACCAAGTACAGGGTCGGCGCGAACTGCCGAGCTACTGATGGATCGAATCGCGAAATCACTCGGAACACGGTCCGCTTCTTTTACGGTCCATTAAATTCGTTGAATCCCCGTTTTCTCGCGATTCGCCAGTTTTGATCTTCGCGTTTTGAGTTTCGGAATCCCGGATCCGAGCCGCGAGACCCGCGAGTTCCTCACTCCTTCCCCAGAACAAGTTAGGCCAATCTGATTCAGCTGAGAACTCAAAGCTCAATCCCACCTAAACACTAGGGCCCATAAATCCGTGTGAATGTCACCACTTCAATAACGACTATTAAACTACTCTTTCCTTTCATTTTTTTTGTGTTTTCTTATTGGCTAAGACCGGAATTGTCGCACGCTAGAGATGGAAGAAGCTTCCGTGGCATTGCAAAACGCAACAAACGGACCGGCAATCTCATTGTGCTGACTTTTTGCATCATCTCTCGCATCTCCTGCTATGTTCCATTTGTCACGTCTAGGCTTGTCCACAGACCAGACGAAAAGCTTGGATTTTGTTCTCTTCCTTGGAGAAAATGACATCGTACTAAACCTACCCACTTCTGGACCTGGTGTGTTTTTTTATTTTCTCTTTCTTTCCGTTGTTTTTATGTCAACAGTTGGAGGCTGTGAGATGACTGAAGCACTAAACCAACCCGCAAAAAATGCTAAAAATACTTCGAAAATTTCCACTGACTTGTGTGGGGGGTAATACACCCTATGACCCGTCTTGTAGATTTTAATTGATGTGGATTTTCTAGAGAAGCTTCTGTGAGTTGAAAATCTTATGCGTTGGTTCTTTCTTTTCTAATGGGTACTGAGAAAACTTCTTGTTATATATGCATATTGCATGAGACACATCTTATCAGAAAAGCTCTGCTACCAGTTCTTGCAAATATAGCTTGTTAAAAGTAATGGCTAACCCCAAGTTAACAGCTCTCTTAGCTGTGCTTGTGCTGCTCCCAGTTGCTGCTTTGGGATACCCTTGGACTCCTTTTGATGGTATTTAACATCATCATCATCTCTCTCTCTCTCTCTCTCTCTCTCTCTCTCTCGGAAGCAGAGATGTACTGATACATGTACATGTGCTCTTTTGTTATGAAACAAATATAGTGAAGCCGTGCGATGCGGTGGAGTGTGGAAAAGGGAACTGTGTAGCGAATTCGAGCTACCCTTTCAACTACATCTGTGAGTGCGAGGCCGGTTGGAAGAGGACGCGCCTTGACAATGAAGACGATTACAAGTTCCTCCCTTGTGTCATTCCCAATTGTGAGTAAACTCGCTCCTTCTCAAAGATGACTGCTAAGACATCGTCCCACATCAAGGAAGAGACGGTGCTCGACTCCTTACCAACCTCGCGTCCGACGTTATCACACAAATACGAATACTTCTGTGCAGCTCCTTATATTCCTTGAATTCATGCGATCTTAAGCTTAAGTTATTGGGTTTGGGGGTTGAAGTTGACAAATGCCGAATATGCAAGTTTTAGGCTTTTCTTTCGCTGGAAATGTTTATCTAGAATACTTCAAGATACGGAGTGGAGAAAACTTCAACCTTTAATTAAAACACGGGCACATAGCAGAAAGTTGTTTGACGGGCGAACGTGTTCTTGATGCAGGTTCGCTCCAGTACTCTTGCGTGCCCGCTCCTACGCCGCTCCCACCGGTTCCATACAACCTGTCGTTCTTTGACCGTAATCCACTTAACCACTCGTTATAATTTTCTTCATTGCACTACTTCTTAACTTTTTTTTTCTGAGTTTGAAGATTGCTTTACTCATTTGCTCCCGCAGCTTGCTACTGGATCTATTGCGGAGGAGGAACATGCACAAAATCAGCATCATATGAACATATATGCCAGTGCAATTCCGGTTATAGCAATCTGATGAACACCAGCGTTTTCCCTTGCTTCAACGATTGTAAGCACAATAACAAGAATTTAAGTCACAATGAAATGTCTCTCATTAACTTCTGTGTTCCTTGTTTCTATATATAGTTCGGTCATTTAAGTTGCCTGTATTGAAGGTGCTATCGGAGCCACCGATTGCGCCAAGCTCGGAATCAAAGTCTCCAGTTCGACCGGCACACCGGCTTCTTCCTCAGATAGCGGGAGTCACGGTGAGATTGGCAGCTAAACAACACTCTTCTTCCACCGTATCTCTACTTAAATGTTTCTTCTATAACCATTTCTACTGCATAAGATATTAAGAGCTACAGAATGAAAGATGCATGTGAAAGTAGGCAAAAAGGAAATTTAGATCTTGGAATCAACCCCTTTCACATGAGCGTCACAAGTAGGAAACCTTTAACGGCTTCTCTTTGAAGAAGTCTTGCGATGAAGACACGTTGATCAGCACGAGTCAGGACAAAAAGAAACATCTTTTCATTCGGGTTTGGTGGGGTTTAAGCATTTGCATTAGAAAGGTCAAACCACTCGCACTTGTGATCTGGTATCCTCCATGCAACAGATCTTTCTCCAAGTTTCACTTGGAGTGTCGTGATTTTTATTTAGAGAAAACGACTTTGATACTGGCCATTATTCAAATTTCATCTCTCTACGCCGTTGACCCACACAAGGCCTAACCTTTGTCACACACTCCTGCAAGCAACTCCTTCCTTCCTGTCCACATAATGCCTCAAATCACACTCCAAATGAAAATTTCTACCAGAATTATCAGCCACTGATAGTACACCTGGATCATACACACTCATATTGGGTCCGCCGTCGTTGTGACGTCCCGGTAGTTGGACGAGATTGGTAGACAGTATGGTGAGTCGGGTACAACGTGAAACAGACAGTATCCCAGAGCTGCCGGTTAATTGTTTTACGGAGCAAAGGGGAAAAAAATCAATTGTTTTGGTCTACCTCAAAGAACAAATCCTGCTGATAAACTTTGGACTGTCTTTCATATGCAGCAAAATGCTCTTCTGACGGTGTCTCTGTTCCTGGTCTCTCAGCTCACTCAATGCTGCCGGGGATGATTGTTTGGATGGCCATACTCACCACATCTATTGCTTTGGTGCTGAAGAAGTAGAAGGGGGATTTACAGGGTCTAGGATGTACAGGGTCTATCTACAACTCTTACCTGGTCTATACTACAAGTACACGTGGTTTTGAATACACACAGAGTTGTTATTGCTGTTGATGCATTCTCTTTATTAGTTTCATTTTATGTGGTGTAGAAAATCTTTCATGTGTTAGTTTCATTTCATGCGGTGTAAAAAATCTTTCGTGTGTTAATAAGATACATGAGTAGGTGTAACATTATTGATATATAATAGACAGCGTATACTCATGTTTTTGACTAAGAACGCGTAATCTCTCTCTCTCTCTCTCTCTCTCTCTCAAAAGCTGGCTGCATAGACGCATAACCTGTCTAATACCAATCATATAGCTTTCTCATTGAAGGCAACACATTGTTGGATGCACAGAAAAAGATAGGCAACGCAGCAGAGACACTTCCCAAGTTAACATCTACATAATTTTCTCTTCTGGGAATCTTTACTTCAGTAAAAAATGTCGAGCCGTCAGGAAATGGCAGATCCGAATTGATGTATAGAAAGGCGACATTACATACTTCCGCAAAGATGGTCCTCTGATGTGAGAAAAACAACCTATGTATGGCAACATAATAGGTCAAATATCTAGCTGCTCATTCTGTATAAAAGGTTTTTTTATTCATTTCGATTGATGATGAGTTTCTTACGATAAAATGACCGCACGTAGATGGAGATACGAAAAAGTTACTCAAGAAGCAAGATAACCAGTACTGTATTATCAGATCACATCTTTAATTTAGCAGGCATCAGTGTAACAAAGCAAGACTAGTTCTATCTTGTATGTGATCCCATTTCATGCAAGCTGATGTTTTACATTCTTTTGACAGTGTTAGTTACTCAGGTATGGAACAGCTAAAAAGCTAAACACTATCAGCTGTATATCTGCTCGCTTTCTTAGTCTTACATTTGTGATGATCGACAGATTACTATAAACGGAGGTTCCTCAGCTGCATGAAGCACGCTCTTTTGACGAGAGACAGCAATATGATCACCATGCCATTTAGCATGGTACTGCAATCTGGTCCGCTTAAGCGACGTGCTAGCTGAAAATTATCCATGATGAATCCAAAGCTGACCGACTGCGATCTACAAACAAAGCAGACATTCAGCACCCAAGCCCTACGTCATTTTTAAGCCCCTACTCCTCTAAAGGCAGGCGCCCCCGGGTTTTTTATTACAGAATCCCAGGAATAGCGGGGATTTCTGTTGATGAATCCTCAGGCCTCAACGACAATATAAGCGTAGGCACTTATCAATTAACATCCTCAAGTCTGCCAAATGTAGGCAGCTGAGAAATTCATGTTCTTTAGCTCTCTAAACTACAATCCAATCAGAAAGAGAGAACAAAGAGTACTTGGCTGTCAAGTCATTACTAGTGAGCCCAAACCCCATCGCTAAAAGCAATCACAGCTATGCTAAAACACTCGAATAGTCATGAAGCAGGCCAACCTGTTCTAGGTTGCTCGTTCTTTCTGTTAATTGATTGATGATCCATGACAAAACTGGAGTTGCCATAACAATACTTTTGCAATAAATCTTCGGAATCATAGTCACATAAAAAATGCAAAGAAACTGAAAAGAACAGAGGGTATAATCTGGAATCTTCTATATGAGAAAAATGCTTTGAAGCAATTTGTCAGAGCAGTCTATCTGCTTTATTTCAAAATTTTCACCTTTGAAGGAGGATCTGATGCAGTTACCAGCTTAAAAACTGCGAATATACCACAACATTTGCCGGACTCAAGAATTCCTAGGTGTGAACGAAAATACAAATTCAAAGCTCACCCTTTTCAAGGGAATATCACTTGGATTTTACTTCTACACCATTCTTTCCAGCAATGATCACTGCTGTTGCCATGTCAAGAAACAATCCATGTTCGACCACCCCTTCGAATGCCGATATTTCCTTCCCCGCTGCTAAACCGTCCTTAATTGGAGTTTTAAAGTACAAGTCCACAATATAGTTTGAATTATCCGTGACATAGGGCTTCCCGTCCTGATTTAACCTCAGCTTCGCATCGCAGCCTTCTTCCTTGAACAATTCTTGAAGTTTTACCTGTTGTCACAAAAGAAAAACATAATTTTCAGCATTTGAGGGAGCTCAACCATACCGACAACCACATTAATAAACATCAACAACAGAAAAGCATTTAACTCCACAATCCTCTTTCCACTAGAAATTCGAAAGGCATGCTGGGGTTTCCTCATATCTTCACCAAGAATGAACAATGCAGCCAGGTGCAGTGCAAGTCATGAGTAAGTTGTAAAACATGCAAGACTAATCCAACTTCTTGTATTTCAATTCTCTATCGCAAAAGCAGGTGAACTAAGATCAGACAAAATAGACAGCAGAATTACCATAAAAACAAAACTTCTGCAAGGAATAAAAACCAGAAAACTTCAAATCGAATTCAACACATAAATCACACCAACCAACCGAAAATTTCACCAATGCTGTCCAGCGACACCAAGACTACTCCATTTCAACCCACATTCCTAAAGATTAAAACTTTATGTTCAAATCAAGAACCTCACATCACAATGCGATCGCTGTACTCCAGAATCACCTCCAGAATCACCATATGCTTCCAAGCAAGTGACGCCAACATAACTCCATTTCAATACACATTCCCAAAGATAAGAACTTTCAACATTAAATCAAGAACATAAAGACAAAACTAGTAACTGAGCTCCAAAATCACTCACCAAATTGTACTTCCAGCAGAACTGCACCACCTCAACCGGCATTGCCAATCCACTCCCGCCAAGCCCACTTACCAGCTTGGTCTCATCCGCCACCACCACGAACTTCTCGCTCGCCGCCTCCACCATCTTCTCCCTCAGGAGAGCCCCACCCCTCCCCTTCACCAGGTTCAAATCCGGGTCCACCTCGTCGGCGCCGTCGATCGCCAGGTCGAGCCGGGGGTGGTCGTCGAGGACCGAGAGCGGGATGCCGAGCCCCCGGGCCTGCTCCTCGGTGCGCCTCGAGGTCGGGATCCCCACGATGTCCGACAGCTCGCCGGACTTGAGGAGCTGGCCGAGCCTGGCCACGACGAAGGCGGCGGTGGAGCCGGTGCCGAGGCCGAGGACCATGCCGCTGCGGACGTAGCCCACGGCCTTGTCGGCGGCGATCCTCTTGAGGTCGTCCTGGGTGAGGGGAGGGGATGGGGATGGGGAGGAGAGGGCCCTGATGGAGAGGGGCTTTGGAGGAGTTGAGGAGGAAGGGTTGCGCAGGTTAAGGTCCCTGGGGGCGCGCAGGATGAGACGGCGGCGGTGGCGGGACGCGGCGGAGAAGGAAGATAGGGAGGAGGAGGTGGCGGCGGCGGACATTTTCCGGGGGAAGTGAGGGTGATGGGCGGTTAGAGTTGGTTTGATCGGTCCGTTTGGAACTGGTGCGGTTGTTCTGTATTTAGATTTGTCAGTCTCCGAGAAATTTGAGAACCTTATGGTTTTTGGGGTGAATAAGGTTAGGTGGTCTTTTTTTTTGTGAGCCATTTGGTGAAGTTGAGGTTTTCCGGTTGACATTGGTAGGTGAGGGTGTCGTTTTGGTAGTTGCTCCTGCTTCAGGATTTCTGTACGCCCCTTTTTCAATTGGGTTAATATATCAAAAAACCCAATACTGATAACCTGCGACAGATTGATCTCTCTGTTAAATTGAATTAATACACAAAAAAATTACAAACTAATATATTTGTGACAATCGGAGTGTAGAAACACAAACTGGTACATTTGTCAAATGCTATCATTTAACTCAGCAATTTGATAATAAAATTTAACGGAAACTAACATATGATAAATTTATCATAAATGTATCGGTTATGGAGTTTATGGAGTTTTTGGTGGGGTTTATAGTTTGAAGTTTTTTTGTGATATTACCCTTTTTAAATTTTCTGCTGCATAACATCTAATTTGGACAAAAGATTTGGGGGGAAGAATCATTAAACAATGAGGGGTGTGATTTTCAATCCATCTTTTTATAATTTAATGGCTCGATGACAACTTGACAAGTAGATTCGACGCCAGTGAGCTCGACCTGTACTAGTGTATAGCCGGTAGCAACTGTGGTTCAAGATGCAAATGAGCTGTTTTGACTCAGCTAAATTTCTTCGCCAATTAATTTTCCAATCCATATGTCTGGCTGACCATGTTTCTTGGCAATAGGTAATTGACAATTTACCAAAAAAAAATAAAAAATAAATTCAGATCAGAATACATTGTAGTTAAATGCCTGGTCCTATCCTATTAGGCAATACATGTGGTCTCTGAGGGAAGGGAAGAGAATGGAACACTGGAGGCACCATTTCTTCAGGAATAGATTGATCTTTCCAGAATTACGATAATTTTCGGTCATCATCTTTGATTTATTCCGGCACGGGTTGGTCGACTGCAATATATTGAGACCGCCCCGGTTGGCTAGTGTTTGGGCACATCAGCTGCATCTTGCATAGAGATCGATGCTTCCTAACTGCAGCCGTGATGTTGATTGAACATCTCGCGCCGCAAGAAACCTAAACCTGTGATATGTATCCTCGAGTGAACAATCAATAAGATCTAACTTTCAAACTATCGAAAAAAACCTTTTGGTTGACAATGTACCTGAAAGCATTGGATGCTGGGGCTTTTGTTTTAATTTTGAATGTCCGGCGCTCGAAACGGTTTTTAAACAGCTGGGAAGTTTGTTCATCCAAAACATGCCAGCTGGATCCTCCATCGCTGCTTCCCTCCACAACCCTGAGAAGTGACCGAAAAGAAGCAGTTCGTTTAAAATGTGATTCTTTGGAACCTATAATTAAGGCATTAATGCCAGAAGGAGGAAGGAATTGACTATCTCTGAACAGATATGATTCGACGAGCTGATGATCAAACACTGAAACAAGAGTGGGACATTCTTTGATGCATCTTTAGCTAACAGGAGGAATACGATATGCGATCACACAGTCAGGGAAATTACGAAAACCAGATGAATTTTGCTGACTAAATGGTTTATGAACATCACGCATGGTTTTAGCAAATAACAGAAGTATACTTTTAAAGCTGTGTAAACCACACCAACAAAGAACTATGCAGAAGGAAGCGCACCAATTCATCGGATCTCTTTCTGGAGCGTCATTGGCAGACATTAACTCGTAAGCCACGAGCTCTTTCATCTGGCCGTCCAGTACTTTATACATGATCCAGCAACCTGCAAGAGTAATTTCAATAACTAACAAATGAAAACACAAACTAACAGTTGGAAAGAACATACACAGAATACAGCAACCATACAAAATTCGTTGGTGATCCATCATGCTTTCACCATGATCTCACCATCAGAGTTCCGAAGAAAAAAACAATCCAACAACTCTTATAAGTAAGTTCATTTTACCTCGACCCCCATTTGGTTCTTCCCATTTTGTCTCACGAGTACCATCAAATGCTGCTGTGGCCTGAAAGTTCATCAGAATAGTTTAATAATAAGACATTGAGGTACAAAGAGTGAAAGTGTGAAGGAAGCCCAAGAGGTCAAAGAGCAAACCACTACTTACAATTCCAAGAGGAAGTTCCTCACCACTTGCAAGAACTGAACCAGAGTGGATTCTATTAGATTTCAACAGTGGCAAGGATAGGACATCACTACCGAAATGGTCACTCTGTCTAAGGTTATGGATCATATCTTCCAAAGCATCCAGAACTACAGGTAATGCTAGCGAGGTTTTTACAGGGTCGCCAGCCAGAGATATGTCAATCTTCCCGTCCACGTGTTCACACTTCAGAGAGAGTGCATTAAGTAACTCGCTGAAGGAAGGAAGCAACTGATGCACAAATGATGGTGTCCCAATTGAAGCTGAATCAAGTGACACTCTCCTTGTTTTGAAGGATGATCTCCTCATCTTTTCTAAAAGTTCCCTAAAAGTCTCAAAAACTTCAAGAGCTCTAAACTTAGTAACAGAGTTGTCTGCTAAGAGAGAGAGGATTGGAGAAAATGCACCATAGATTTTTGTTACATTCTCATCAAAGCAAACACGAACTGGGCAAGACGAGCAACTCAAAGAGCCATTGTCATCTGGACCAGTCTCTGATCTCGAGATGCGCCATTCCTTGTCCCCACTTTGCCTTCCAGGCAAAGATACTGAGGCATCATCTGCTGCATGAAGATCTCTCTCAATTGCTTCCATTTCCCTTTTCTCACGATCTTCAAGGGCAGAAAGCACCTGAGATGTAAAACTTCTCCGACATTCTTTCGTCAACTTAGCTAAAACAGCTGAAAGAGACGTCTCTGTGATCAAGTTTCGCCGTGTTAAAACCTGCACGTTAAACCAAGAAAGAATTGATTTGGCACAATCGATCGGATTCTCTCAACTACTTGACTCAATTTACCCCCTCAAGGGTCACGATAAGTTACTCGCAAAATACACATCAACCACCCATCTATTTTTCAGGTGATGTGCTATTATTTAAAGGGTTACTTTGAGAATCTGTCTTTCCATACCATAACACATCATATGAGTGTAAATCTTATATTGCTCTCCGCATACAAGCAGAAAAACAAAATCTACTGTGGGTGTTGGTGAAACTCCCAGTTAGGACCATATGCTGCTGAAAAGATAAATTACCTCATGCCACTTCTTTGTGTAGCGTTTTGTGACATCATAGATTCCGTCTTTTGCTATCCCAAATGCATAATCCAATTTCTTATTCCACCTAGCATATTAAGCATGAAAAGCAAAAGTTCACTTAATATTGGAAAACAGGCAAAGAGGCACTTTAGAATAAGTCACAATCAAAGGGGGATCAAACTGTGTTACCCCTTTTCATATAACAAAGGTTTGTCAAAAACTCCGTCACAAGGATCAAGATGCATCCATCTGTACAATCAAGCACAACAGGAAATATTTGTGATGGTTGAAAAAAAAATCATGCTTCACAGAAAGTATGAACAAGGTGCAGCATGTAAATGATGTTTCTACCTTCCCAAATGCACTGAAAAGCACTCTGTCCACACATGGTCGGTGAAATCTAAAACCTACAGAAGACCAAGAGACAGCGAAGGGGGAAGAGCCATTAAGAACTCATGTGACACAATACATAATACAAGAAAGAGTGCCTTGACACATTATCATTTTGGAGATGATGATGCATCCACAAATACGTAATGGTAAAATACGTGATCTAAGCTTTAATTCACACAAGTTCATATTAAGGCTAATTAGACAAGACTAAACACAACAAAGTGTGCCTTTACATAATATTATTTTGTAGATGATCCACCCAGGGGAATGTAATGGCAAAGCAAGAGACCTAAAGTTTAATTCACGCAAGTTCATACTCAAACCAAATTTTCTATTCAAATTTATATCGAGACCCATACCAATTACATTTCCTGCACTAAATAACATAACCTGCAATCAATCCAATATATTTGAAGACTAAGTCTGCATTTTGGCGGTTTAATTTCTTATTTGGAAATAAAGAAGAAATTACAAAGTTTAGACCCACCGTATCATAAAGCCTGAAGGATTAAGCAAAGAAAGAACTAACCAGACGGGATTCATAACCAAAAGCACGACAGTAGAATGTAAAGCAGTTTGCCCACTCCCCACAACGGCCTCTTCTTGTCTCTAAGAGCTTCCAATAGAGAAAAAGGCAAAAAAATTAGTTGTGGTAGAGTACAATATTCTCTCATGGGAAAAGGGAGGATGCAATCGAACTAATTTCTACTGAGGTTAGAAAACCAAAATACCTTCACTGGATCGTTGTATCTCGGAAAGCGCGTGATCCTTGAGCAGCGTTTGCAGCTAGAATTGGCAAAAGAAAACAAAAAAGAATGAGAAAGGTGAGGTTAGCAGAGGGAACCATAGAAGACAAGTATAACAACTAATACATTCACCAAGCCAATTTGCTTCAAATATTTTTGTCATCCAGACAGCTAGAAACAAACATCTCGAATTAAACAGGGAAGGGTCTTTTTTTTCTTTTTTAGGGGAAGGGGCTCTAATAAGATGAGAATCAGATAATCATCTTTTCCTACCGGTAAATTTCTACACGAGAACCGCCATAAAGAAGTTCGGAAGGAAGTGGCCTGCCCATGCCTTGAGCTGCAGTTTCACTACCACATCCTTCGCAAGGAGGAGCATTAACCCAGCTGCACAAATAGATGAGTTCAGACCCCTCTTATATTCCAGTTTAAATATTAAATTTGTGCAGGCAACAAGGATATAAGAACACAGGTTAGTAATCTATTCATAGTACTTTAAGGAACACGGAATTTGTCTTTTGCACTTTTCATCACTATAAACCATGATATAAAGGTAAGTATTTAAAAGATTTACATAGTAAATGATGTCATTATTTCCCCTTCTTATTTTTTCAGCTTTCAATGTTTCCACCTGCCTTAAGACGATTATTCCTAACTCTGACAAATAGTGCATTAAATGACAAAAACAACTAAACAACTATTTGCTTAAGCTTGGCAAGCGTAAAAAGCAAAGTTGCCATCCCACAGTCCTGAACCAGAATTTCTACCTCATATCAAACGTAGGTGCAAAGCATGCTCTGGTGCATAGAATTGGGATTTCCATGGTGCAATGTGAGCGACATTTAGATTATGAAGATCCATGTCTGTTTTTCTGAGACGACTGTTTCCACTTAAGCATACAATGATGACATCTAGATCCTCAGTGCCGACCATGATGACTATGGCATCCCAAATTAAAACCCGTGAAAATACAACAAGTTTTCTACCATGAAGTCTGTCCATGTATGTATCAAGATCACTTCCCTGTACGCTAAATGAATAGATGGAAGAAGTTTTCTACCCACGAGGCAGATGAATATGAAAGCCCGATGGCAGGAATACTACAAAAAAATGTTGCACTACAATAAAATAGGTGATGCAAACATGAAATGATGAAAAAACTCTTCAGCTCCTGTTGCATATTAGCATCACTGCACCATATATACACTATCGAGAATTTAGAAGAACTAAGCAGAAAAATGCAATGGATAACCATTAAAAAGCACCTGAAGGAACGCTTGAACCAGTAAAGCAGCTGTATTAAGAAAGCAAGATCCCGTTCACCTTTGGATGGTTTGAAGTTCCCCACCTGACCAAATTAAAATTACCACTCATGAATGGCTAAAGCAACAAAAATACTCATTGTGTGCGAGAGAAAACATCAGCAAATCGGTCTGTGACGGTAATGAGGTGAAAGCAAAATCACACCACGGGTTCTCAAAGGTAATGAGTTCAAAGCAAAACCACACCACCCCTCTCACCTTGGCCAGAGACACCAATGCCTTCTCGTCAAGCTCGTCCATAGGTACAGTCTTCCGAGCAGCCTCTTGGGCTTTCGGATCCTCATACTAAATTTCGCGAAATAGCATTAATTCAGTCAAGTGGCCGATTATAGTTCTCACCGACATGGATGAGAGGGAGCGAAGTACAGATGGAGATAATTATTACCCGGCGAACTTGATCGATGTAAGGCCTCAACCTCTCCTCCATTTGAGCACTATTCTCACCCACAACAAACTGCTGCAACAGCAGTGCTTCCTCCTCCGCCTAAAGGAACGAAACAAAAAAGAGATCTTGAAACATCAAAACTATCAGGTGAAGAACACAAGCCGCCCACGCAACATTCAACAAACTTCAGCGAATGCTCTGCACGACTGCGATCCAAGAACATCGAATCCCTACCTGCAACAACCGAGCCAGCTCCTCATCCGACTTGAGCATTTCGGCGCTGCTGCCGGCACCCTGATCCGCCGCTCTCTCTCCTCCTCCTCCTCCTGCTTCGTCGATCGACACCAGCCGGAGCCTGCCGGCGACCGCGGCGAGATCGGAGTCCTCGGAGACGACCCGGTCGTCACCGTCTCCAACGATCTAAAAATGAAGCCAAAAAGAACCGATCGATCACGCAATCGCACCTCAAATCCCTAAAAGCCCCAATGCCTGCAGCAGCCCAGCCAAAAGAAAAAAAAAATCAACGATTTTTCGCAACGATTCAGCGAGAGCGAGCTGACCCTTTGCTCGTCGGGAGGGATCGCGGTGAGGGAGAAGAGCTGGTATCTGAACACCTGCAAAACGCAGAGAGGCAAAAGCCCTTAGCCCCAGAACGACGATCGGCGGCGAGCCGGAAGAGAGAAACTTCGAAATTCGCGGCCGGACGGAGACAAAGAGAGAGAGACAGAGAGAGAGAGGGAGAGAGAAGGGGGGAGAGACTTCGAGGCCGTCGTCGGTGTCGTAGTCGACTTCGAAGTCGGCGCCGCCGTGGCGAACCTGGAACCGCCGCGCCACCATCGCTCGCTCTCTGCCGGAGCTCACGACTTCTCCGTACAGGAAGAGAAGGGTGTCGCAGAACGACGACGATGACGAATGACCACGACGAAGTAGTTCGTGGGGAAGTCTCCTCTTAATAAAAGTCAACGGTTGACTTGGCATTGACCCTCAACTAACACATGGACACTTGAAGCAAAAAAAATAAAATAAAAAATTAAACAAACAAACCAGAGGAAAGTGAATGAAGCATTTCATTCCTTCTTCTTCATTTTTTTTTTTGATTCTAATTATTAAATTTCAACTTAACTTTTTCTGTTTTGTTTGAAGAAGTAGAGAAGGAAAGAGTCGGAAAAAAATTTCTGATCTTCGCGACAGAGAACGGGCATGTCGACGGGGTTGATTTGATGGGTCACGGATTCTTTATTTTTTCGAGTTAATTCGTGAGGATTGGCTTCGTCAGCACTACTAGATCATGCTCTAACACTTTTTCTAAATGATAGGAGATGGAGATGCAGAAGAAGAGGGTGGAGGGAGTGCTCGTTTTGAAATGAGCTGTGTGGCTCAAAATGCTCTTACCCTCCTCAGCAGCTTCCCAAGGGCTTGAGTGAAGCTGTGGATGGCTTTCATCAGGTGAAAGCTCATGAGGTTCACAGTGTGTTGTTGCTGTGATGGAAGATGCCAATGAGAAGGAGCTAGTGGTCCAGAAGAATGGGCTGGTGGATGAGAATTTGAGGAAGGCCAAGACCTTGTAGAGATTGCTTTTTGTTGGGAACAAGTCCTTAACACTCAAGTTAACCTACAGTTTGTGTCTCTTTTGCTTTTCTGTCCTCGCTTCATTTCCTCTTTTGTCTCCCTCCTTTCTAACCTCATGGTGGTCACTGGTTTGCTCAAGGACAAGAGAGAATGCACAAGGGTTGATGTGTTTGTTATGCTGGCTTTGGAACAGTTAGTGTCATTTGCGCCTCAGATTTAACTTTATGCTTTGTCAGAATACCTGTGAAAGAAGTAATCTGTCCTCTGTCTGTTTTGATTTCCCCTGGAAATGGATAAAGCATCGGTTCGTTGCATGTATTTATCATAAAGTGGCTACTTCTGCTTGAGGTAAAGAATGAAAGTTTCTCTTAGTTGTCTCGGAATAAAGTCTTGACAAAGACCTTGTAGTGTGGCATTGACCGTTCAATCGCAAAGCCCGCGGCAAGCGAAGTACATTTGCGAGGTCTCGCAAGCATTAAAAACGGCATTAGAAACATGAGAAGGAAGGCTCGACTGCAATTCTTGCGCCGGCTAGGAGAACAATGAACAGTTCCAAAGTTCAATAGCCTTCTGTATCCACTTAATATATCCTCAATCATCGCATTCTCGGGGTCTTCAAATGCTTGAATTGGGCGGCAGGACCACGACCTTCAACTTCTTGTGCTTAGTACTTCTTGGTAGGCAGAGGCGTGTTGGCGAACTTCCATGTCGCATGCATCACGCCCTCATACGTTCTACCACCTGCTACTTCGTTGATGGGCACAGCTTCCGAAATGTCTTTCAAATCTTCTTCGGTGAATTTTATCCTCAAGGAGCCTATATTTTCATTTAAGTTCTTGATCTTAGTTGTCCCTAGCAAAGTTCACAGAAAACCAGTAAACAATCCCAGGAATCACAACAGAAAGAGTCTATTTAATTCTGGTGTTTTTTCTTTTCTTTTCTCACAGGTTCTAATTATCCCCTTCTTTAATATCTTTTTCCTTCCTCGCTTTTCTTAAGGAGTTCAGAACGCGTGGTTTTTCTGCAAAAATCCCTTCAAGGACCTCTTTCCTATTTGCCCGATCATTTTTGCGTCATCAGAAGAGTACAATCTCTTCACTCTACCACATAGCATACATGTGAGTCATTCAACTCCGAATATACAAGCTATAGAGGACTCACCGGAGATTGGTACGACCCCATTTCCTCGTTCAAGAAGCCATGCTAGAGCTAATTGAGCCGTCGTACATCCATGCTTCCTCGCAAGATCTTCAATCCTAGAGTAGATGATTTTATTCTTGTCCAGGTTCTCCTTTCTAAATCTAGGGTGCGTTACCTTTCAAGAGAGAGTTTTCTTGCATCAGTTACTAAATATATAGTTCCCCAGGAGTAGTTATATCTGGAAATTCCCTCAAGGAGATTGTCTTCCAATGTCATAAAGATGTACATAGCCTTACAAAACCAATAGACAGATCACATGAATAACAACATAATCAAGAGAAGATTATACAACCAGTAAAGCCTCAACCTGGCCAGTATTCTAGTTCAACAAATGATTCAGTTATTTAACTGAAAGTTGCGCCCCAAAATACTTTTTTGCAATAATTTCTCATTCTGCCAGTTGAAATAGATAAATAGGACATACCAGAGAGCTGGCTGAAGGCAAGCTCTCAACAATAGCTTTGCCAGCAAAGAAGCCACGGCCGAGAGGACTGTACGTAACTATTCCAATACCGAGCTCCCTAGCATTACAGCAGCCGTAATTAAAGTGAGTATATTACAGAAGCACCCGGGGTCGGAAACAGGATTGCTTGAAATGAAAAATCAAAAGGGGTTAGAGATTTCTGCGTCCTGTGCTAAAGGTAGATGCACAAGCAAATTATTAAAGTTTAGATGCTAATGTAGACTAACCGGCATAATGGAACTATCTCCTCCTCGATGTCACGAGTCCAGAGAGACCACTCCATCTGTACAGCTGTAATTGGATGGACAGCGTGAGCTCTCCTAATCGTGTCGGGGCTTGCTTCAGATAGACCAATGTATTTAATCTTTCCCTCTTCCACCAGTTTCTTTAATTCGTGCATCTATAGAACAGGAAATACATGGTTCAACACTTGTCTGTATTCATCCTCAAGGAATCAATCACCCAAAGACTAATGTACAGAGGAAATCATCGTGCAAGGTTAAAATGTAGAAAAGAAGTACTCAGCCAATGCAGTCAGACAACAAAAACGTTACTTACAGTTTCTTCTATGGGAACTGATGTGTCAACTCGATGCTGATAATACAGATCAATGTATTCCACACTGAGGCGCTTCAAACTAGCCTCGCAACATGACCGCACATATTCAGGGGTGCCCATAACTACCAAGTTGGAAAAGTCTAATCTTACTATACCGAACTTTGTGGCTAGCTGAATGTTTTCTCTTGGGAGTTGCTTCAAGGCCTAAAAGACAATTGCAATTAAATCGAGTACGAAGAGTATCAGATGACTTCAAGAAGCTGCAAAGTAAAACCAGAAGCACCTTAATCTCCAATTCATATGCAATTGCATCATTATTCATCAAATCAACCTTGCTAAATGGAGAAAAATTGGTGTCCATGAAAGCAAAATAGAAGGGTAATATCAACAGAGGGCAATAAAACCTTCCTTCTTTACTTGTTATCTGTATTTCCTTAACTAAAATGAACCCACATTAAGCAGAATAACGAATTTATAAGCTTTTCGAAACAATAGTGCCCGCATAAAAAACAGGGGTGGAGAAGCATCTCAACCTTAGGACCTCAGCCTCCCTCAAGATGTGTACAGTATCCTCTTCAGGTTCATCATAAGAAAAGGAATGGAAAGACCAAATACTGAGCTTGAGATCAGAGGCACAAAATAACAGCATTACAAAGTACGGTGACAAAATGCAATGCTTTTCCAGGAATAACACTGTACCTTTCCAACCAGAACTTCATTAGCATTTGCTCCGTACGCATCGGCCGTGTCGAAGAACGTGATTCCCTTGCTATAAGCATCCTTTATTATTTCAATGCCGTCCTCATCAGAAAGTGGAGCGTTGTAGACACCACTCAAGCCCATACATCCGAACCCCAACTTAGATATCTGAACACAGACAAACTCGAGCGATTAGCACTTTCGTGCCTTCAATTACAGGTCATGAGCTCAAAGCACACAAACATAGAAAATGAGGAAAATAATCTTATTCCCATGGTTTGAGAAGCTAACAAAAGCATCAAAATAAATTCTGAACCATTCACTGACAATCCCCAGATACGTTTACCAGCCAGAGATCCCCCCAAAGGTGCAGACAGAGTTTGGCATTCTCATTTTATAGTAGAAATGTAATGAACAAGAAGAGCAAGCAAGACCGAGCAGCTCTTGGAAAAACTTAATGGGCATTCAAAGATTTGGGATTGGGTTTTGATTAAATTTACCTCCAGTCCTTGGCTTCCCAGCTTAACTCTTGGAATCTCCCATCCTGCCATTTATTTTCTCAACTTTTGATTCTAGCTTCTCTGTTTCGGCTCCTTCTGGAAGGCAGAGCATGTGCTATCTTAGATAGCTCAGTTTGATGGGTTTTGATTTTTAGCTTCTCTGGATTGGCTCCTTTTGGAGCAGAGTATATGTTATCCTCGATGTATTTCCATCCATTAGCTTTTCAATCACTTTATTGAAATGTCTGGGGTCACTTTATGGATGTTTTGAGACTATAATGAGAGTCACCGACAATTTTTCTCATAATGCAGGAAAGAGGGATATTGCAGAATTTGAATAGTACATGGAGATTTTTCAATGTAAAAAGGTTCAGAAGGTCAGGTTACACCACATGATTTTACCCATTTTGCTTGTACTAAAACATTGTGTGTACTTTCATTTTTCCCATGGAGAATTGTGAATTTTTATTACGTCCACTTCTTTGAGCCATTGAGGAGTAAATAAACTCACTCTCACAAAGCTTCAATATTTCTCATTACCTAATTTTATGTTAAATTTTCACACTTTTACTCTACTGATCGTTTGGATTTTTGGTGGACAATTTTTAATAATTTGCTTTTTCCTTGGTGGTTTGGATTTGAAACCAAAGCTCTCAACCACGAAGCAATGGACACACCCACTCTTCTTTTCCCCATTAATTGATGAATATCATATGAAAGATCATGGACTTGAATTCTGAATTTATCATGTGCAAATAGATCTACATTGGAGAATTGGGGATAAGGTAATGTTTACTCTATTCTTTTGCTGGTGAAGGACCAGTGCCTAGTACCTGTTATTCTCATGACTTAAGCTTCACGCTTACACATTTCAACAATTGATACTGAAGATCACCTCAACCATGACTTCCTCACAAGACCCCGTAAAGTGGCAGTATTGCTTTAATCGAAAAGCCGATCCATGATTAAGTTGAACTGGCATCGATCTACCTCCTGATGTTCTAGCTTGAGATTGGATTTTGCCTAATGAAACCTTGCTCAATGGATGGGAGATCATGTGAAGGTCATTCAAGCATAAAAAAAAAGCGTTAGAAGCATGAGATAAAAGGCGGGATATTTGAGCATAATCGTTGAGACAACAGTGATAGGTAAGGACAGCGCTATTAATTTTGCAGGTCTTCTCTAATCAACAATCGAGCGGTCCATAAATGCTAGAGTAGGGCAGCCAGGAACGCCATCTCGAACTCGTTATGCTTAGACTTTCTGAGTAGGCAGAGGTGTGTTTGCAAACATCCATAATGCGTGAGCCAAGCCGTCGTATGCTCTGCCGCCTGCCACCTTGCCGATGGGTACGGCATTGGAAATCTCTTTCAAATCTTCCTTCAGTCAGATTCACTTTCAAGGAGCCTATGTTGGAATCCAAGTTCTTGATCTTAGTTGTCCCTAGAGAAGTCAAAAGAAAAGCCCGTCAAACATTTCCGGGAGACTCATCAGATGCACTTCTTGACTACATAATCCTATGCACATGAAGTCCTACGTAATTCGGAAGGAGCCATGTAGCTCTATTACCTTCTGCGATTTTCACGCTCAAGGAGCCTATGTTATTTGAGTTCTTGACCTTAGTTGTGCCAAGCGAAGTTCGCAAAAAACCAATAAACATTCCCAGCAATCACATCACAAAGAGTTTGTTTCATTCTGTTGTTTTTTCTTTTCTCACAGGTATCGATTTTCCCCTTCTTTAAGTTATTTTTCCTTCCTAGTTTGTTTTGGTGGATTCAGAATGCATGGTTTTCCGGCAAATGTTTTTATAAGGACCTCTTTACCATTTTTTTGGATCTTCTTTTTAGCTTCATTAGAAGAATACACTCTCTTTACTCTACCACAAAACATACATGAGTCATTCGACTCAAAATACAAGCTATAGAGGACTCACCGGGGATTGGTACGACCCTGTTTCCATGTTCAAGAAGCCATGCTAGAGCTAGTTGAGCTGTTGAACATCTGTGCTTCCTCGCAAGATCTTCAATCCTAGAGTAGATGATTTTATTGTTGTTCAGGTTCTCCTTCTTGAATCTAGGGTGTTCAACCTTTCAAGACAGGGTTTTCTTGCATCAGCAACTAAATACATAGTTCCCCTTGAGTCACAATATCTGGAAATTCCCTGAAGGTGATTGTGTCTTGCGATGTCATAAAGATGTATAGAGGGCATATAAGACCAACAGAAAGATCACATGAAACAAAATAAAGAGAAGATTATGGCCATTTTTGTAGTTTAACCTGTGGTTTCAGTTATTTAACTGAAAGTCATATCCAGAAGATTACTTTTTTGCAGTAACATTACATTCTTGCAATTGAAACAGATAAATTGGACATACAAGAGAGCTGACTGAAGACAAGTGCCCAACAATAGCTTTGCCACCAAAGAAGCCACGGCCAAGAGGACTGTACGCAACTATTCCAATACCGAGCTCCCTTGCACGTCACGCCATCAATGCATCATTTTCACATCAAAGTCGAACTAAATGACCAAAGAACGTTGAAGAAAGGTAATTCATTATAGCAGTCGTACTTAAATTGAGTACATTACGGAAGCCCATGGGGTCGGAAACTGGATTGCTTGAAATGAAAAATCAAAAATTGTTTGAGATTTCCGTGACGTGTGATAAACGTAGATGCACGAACAAATCAATATTGCCATTGTACACTAACCTGCATAATGGAACTATCTCCTCCTCAATATCACGAGTCCAGAGAGACCACTCCATCTGTACAGCAGTAATTGGATGCACTCTGTGAGCTCTCCTAATCGTGTCCGGGCTGGCTTCATATAGACCAATGTACTTTATCTTTCCCTCTTCCACCAGTTTCTTTAATTCGTGCATCTATAGAAGAGGAAATACATGGTTCAACACTTGTCTGTATTTGTCCTTGAGGAACCTGTTTGATTATTTACTTCAATAGAACCAATCACCGAAGGACTATTGTACAGAACAAATCATCATGCAAGGTTTAAAAAAATAGTAAAGATGTACTCAACCCAACGTACTTAGACAACAGATGTGATACTTACAGTTTCTTCTATGGGAACTGATGTGTCGACTCGATGCTGATAATACAAATCAATGTATTCCACACCAAGGCGCTTCAAACTAGCTTCACAACATGACCGCACATATTCAGGGTTGCCGTTAAGTACCAAGTTGGAATAGTCTAATCTTACTATACCGAACTTTGTGGCTAGCTGAATGTTTTCTCTTGGGAGTTGCTTCAAGGCCTAAAAGATGATTACAGTCATATCGAGTTCGAAGAGTATCAGATAATGCCAAGAAGCTGTGAAGTAAGACCAGAAGCACCTTAATCTCCAACTAAAATATGATTGCATGATAATTCATCAAATCAACCCTGCTAAATGAAAAAAGAAATCGTTATTCTTGAAAGAAAAAATAGAAGGGAAACATCACCAGAAGGCGATAATTCCTTCCTCCTTTACTTGTTTTCTCTATTTCCATAACTAACATGGACCAACATTAAGCAGAACAACGAATTTATAAGCTTTTTGAAACAATAGTGCCGGCATAACTACGGGGGTGCAGAAGCATCTCGTCCTTAGTAACTCAGCTTCCCTCAAGATGTATACAGTATCCTCTTCCGGTTCATCAAAAGAAAATGAATGAAAAGACCAAATACTGAGCTTGAGATCATAGGCGCACGATAACTGGAATTACAAGGTCACAGATATGCAATGCTTTTCCGGAATGTACCTTCCCGACCAGAACTTCATTTGCATTTGCTCCATACGCATCGGCCGTGTCGAAGAACGTGATTCCCTTGCTATAAGCATCCTTTATTATTGCAATGCCGTCCTCATCGGAAAGTGGAGAGTTGTAGATACCACTCAAGCTCATGCATCCGAACCCCAACCTAGATACCTGAACACAAACACGCTCCAAGAGTGATTAGCATTTTTGTGCCTTCAGTTACAGGCCATAACCTAAATGGACACAAACAGAGAACATGAGGCAACTAATTCCATGGTTTCAAAAGCTGGAAAAAGGTATCAAAGTAACTTCTGAACCATTCATTGACAATCCCCAGATACGTTAACCAGACAGAGACCCCCCCGAGGGTGTAGATCAGAGTTCAGCATTCTCATTTTACAGTAGAATTTTATGAACAAAAAGAGTAAGATGACCGAGCAGCGGTCGAAAAAACTTAAGGGGCATTCAAAGATTTGATATTCGGTTTTGATTAAATTTACCTCCAGTCCTTGGTTTCCCAGCTTCACTCTTGGAATCTCCAGTCCTGCCATTTATTTTCTCAGCTTTTGAATGGAGTTTCTGTGTTTCTGCTCCTTCTGGAGGCGGAGCATGTGTTATCTTAGATAGCTCAGTTTGATGTGTTTTGATTTTTAGCTACTCTGGATTGGCTCCTTTTGGAGGCAGAGTATATGATATCCTCAATGTATTTCCATCCTCTAACTTTTAGAATCAATCACTTTATTGAAATATCTGGGGTCACCTTTGTGGATATTTTAAGACTCTAATGAGTCACTGACAATTTTTCTCATAATGCTAGGAAAGAGGGATATTGCAGAATTTGAATAGCACATGGAGATTTTTCATTGGAAAAAGGTTAAGAAGGTCAACTTACACCGCATGATTCAATCCAAAGTGCGAGCATGTGGAGGCATTTTATCCATTAATGGTCGTACTTAGACAGGGTGTAGACTTCCATTTTTCCTATGAAAATTACATGTGAATTTTCATCACGTCCACTTGTTTGAGTCTTTGAGGAGTAACAAAACTTGCTCCGCCAGAGCCTCAATAATTTTCATTACATAAGTTTTTGTCAATATTCTTCGTTACCACGTTACAAATTAGGATTGTCGAGACTCAGATATTTTTGTTGCCTTATCTCACCTATGCTTTATCAAGGAATCTCATTTCGTCCACACGTTTGAAAAGGGATAAATACACCCTCATGAATAGGGGTGAGCATGGTTCTCGGATAGAATATAGAACCTAAGAACCTAACTAATGGAAACTTGTAGGTTCCAAGTTCCAAGATATGCAGGGTAGCTTCTAGGTTTCGAAAATTGGAGAGTTTGTTTTGACGGGTAAGTTCCAGGTTAGTCCAGGTTCTAGGTAAGTGAAACCTGGAACCTGAAACCTTAAATCTTACACAAATTTTTTGTGTTTTTTTTTGTCTATGTTTTCGCGTGATCCTGCAGTGTTCTATGACATTAGATGATGAGTGTATAATCTGGAACTATTAGTCTAAGCTTTCATTTTATATTATTGTTAATGTTTTATATTATTTGTGTGTCTAAATTAAGTTGTGGTCAGTGGATAGTAGTAGCAAGTGGTGGTTATTAAATGTAATGATTCATCGAAATTATTCAATTAATAATACAGATGGAACCTGGATAGACTTTGGAACCGATCTTGAAACCTGTTCTACCTGTATTATTAATTGAATAATTTCAATGAACCTGGAACCTATAAGGTAGGTTCCAGGTTCCAAGATATATAGGGTAGGTTTTATGTTCCAAAAAATGAGGATCCTATTTCCATGGGTAGGTTCCGGGTTCCGGGTGAACCTGTACGGACCTGGAAACGTTTACCTCTACTCATGAATCATGATCTAGCTAAATTGGACATGCTAAATAAAGCAGTCTCCGATGTCAAACTTCAGCAAATAGATTCGCCCAAAAAGAGAGAAAAATAATGATAATGCAAAATCCAAAAGGACTGTATGCAACTATACCACTACAATAAAAGTTACTGCATTCTTTTAAACTTCAGCGAATAGATTCTTTTCTCCAAGTAAGGCGAAATTTTTGTCAAAAGTATTGTACAACGAGTCCTGTTTGATTATCCTAGGGTAACAAAGAACCAGTCCTTTGCTTTTATTTGTTTAATATGGCTCTTTTGACACTAAGATGAAGAGTCGAACTTCCTTTTAGTGGGGGAAAATTGTCAAATTAGTCCTAAACCTATTGTACGGCGGCCAATTCAGTCCTAAACCTTTTAAATTCTTGCTAATTGAGTCCTTCCGGCCAATTTTGGCCGGCCGGCGCTGACGTGGCCGCCGGCCGTCCGGTCAACGCTGACGTGGCAATTTTTAATTATTTTTTTTCAATTTTTTAATCTTTTTTCTTTTTCTTTTTTTTCTGCTGCCTCCCCTCTGGCTGGCGAGGCCTCTGGCGAAGCTCGCCCCGCCGGCCACCGGCGAGGGTGAGCCTCGCCGGCCCCTGGCTGGGCGAGGCGAGGTCGGCCTCGCCTCGCCCAGATCTGGCGAGGCTTGACCTCGCCGTTGCGACCCGGGCGACGGCGAGGCTCGACCTCGCCTCGCCGTCTCGACCCGGGCGATAGTGAGGCGAGGTCGAGCCTCGTCGTCGCTGGGTCGCGACGGCGAGGCTCGACCTCGCCCGACCCGGGGGCCGGTGAGGCTCGCCCTCGCCGGTGGCCGGCGGGGCGAGCTTCGCCAGAGGCCTCGCCGGCCCTCCCCTCTGGCAGGCCGCCGGTCGCCAGACCGGCCAGAGGGGAAGCAGCATAAAAAAAGAAAAAGAAAAAGAAAAAGAAAAAAAGATTAAAAAATTGAAAAAAAATAATTAAAAATTGCCACGTCAGCGTTGACCGGACGGTCAGCGCCGGCCGGCGGCCACGTCAGCGCCGGCCGGCCAAAATTGGCCGGAAGAACTCAATTGGCAAGAATTTAAAAGGTTTAGGACTGAATTGACAAAATTAAAAGGTTTAGGACTAAATTGGTAAAATTAAAAGGTTTAGGACTGAATTGGCCGCCGTACATTAGGTTTAGGACTATTTTGACAATTTTCCCCTTTTAGTGGTCAAACCGAAATGTGCTCGACATCATATATTCTTGGCAACAAACTTGCAGACTTTGCCACCGAACCATTAAAAACAAAGCGGAGGGCAAGATTCTGCATAAATCTTGTCTATCTGATGATTCATGTACTAGCTGCAGACTCAAATTTCCTGGGTTGAAACCATTTCTTCCCAAAAGGGACAGTAAAACAACAAGATCATGCAAAATTGGAAAGGCTTCACTCCGAAAATAAGGCAAGGCATATTATTTTTATGCTAAGGGGGGGGGGGTGCGCTGAGAGAGAGAGAGAGAGAGAGAGCACTCCAACGGGCATGGCACATTTATTTTGATGCCATAGGAGCAGAAGCATTGCCAAAGTTCATAAGTCGTCTTCTCTTTTTCTCTATCGCTGCTCACATGCTTCATTACTGCACAGTCGACAAATGCTTAAATTGATCGGCCAGACTTTGAAACTCTTGGGCTCAGACTTTCTGAGTTGGCAGAGGTGTATTAGCAAACTTCCAAGTTGCATGAGCCATCCTCTCATAGGATCTACCGCCGGCTACCTCTCTGACGGGTACAGCATCAGAGATCTCCTTCAGATCTTCTTCAGTAAGCTTTACCATGAAAGAGCCGATATTGTCATCCAGGTTCTTGATCTTAGTTGTCCCTGTAGTTAGGAAAAAAACATTCCAAGGAATCATGTTAGGAGTCACTTTGATAGTGTCTACCTGAAATGAAGACGATACAAATCCATTTCCTTCTCGGCAATTCGTGGGGCTGGCCACATAGACCCACGAAATAGCCCGTGTGGTTTTTATACACAACAGCTACATGATGGCTCATTTCTACCTTTCAAGAAAGTCCACACCGCAGTTAAAATCATACAAGTAGCAGAATTTAACTTGAAGCAGAGGCTTATCATATAGAGGGCTCACCAGGGATTGGTACAACCATGTCTCCTTGTCCATGAACCCATGCTAGAGCTAATTGTGCTGTGGTGCACCCATGTTTCTTTGCAAGATTATGTGCATGGCCTTTCAGAGGGAACACGGGCATCAGTATCCATGGAATGTAATTTTTGCAAAGAGGGTTGTCATTCAAGCAGCCAACGCGAAGATTGTGCTTTGAATGTCCTATATTAATCAACAGTTTTGCAACTAATACAGTCTCAGTTTTCTGCTTCACCATGTTTACAGTAGTCACTTTCAAAACATACTTTTTGGGGCAAATACAATCAGATCCCAAAGTTAACTGGAGCAAAATATTGTCTAAAAATGTCAGAGCATTTCCATCGAAGACTCAAGAAATGGAGCTTGAAACAGACCTTCTATGCCAAATGAAATGGCTACATACCAGATAACTGTCTGAAGGCAAACTTTCAATGACAGCTTTGCCACCAAAAAAGCCATGGCCAAGCGGACTGTAGGGAACTATTCGAATACCAAGCTCCCTGGCATTTAGCAACATCCAGACAGCATTTTTAGATCAGGAAACATTATTCAGAATGTCAACACTGCACATGTAGCTGCGACATGAAGTTGTTAGAGATATCATATGGAAGACCAATGTCGCATGATTTTTGTGGGCTAAAGGAAGACATATGAACGAATTAACAAAGGATGCTATTGTGGACTGAATAACCTGCATAATGGAACTATTTCCTCCTCAATATCACGAGTCCAGAGAGACCACTCCATTTGCACTGCCGTAATGGGATGAACTGCATGAGCTCGCCTAATCATGTCTGGGCTCGCCTCAGACAGACCAATATACTTTATTTTCCCCTCTTCCACCAGTTTCTTAAGCTCTCCCATCTATGACGGGAAATGCATGTCTTCAGATGGGATGGGATATAATTTTTCAAGAGAAAATGAATCACCAAAAGACAAAAGATGGTAAACATGTACTTGAGATGCCAAAGAAGGGGTACCCAAGAAAAAAATTGCAAAAGAAGCACTTACAGTTTCTTCAATGGGAATTGATGTGTCCACTCGATGCTGATAATACAGATCAATGTATTCCACACCTAGGCGCTTTAAACTAGCTTCGCAACACGATCGCACATATTCAGGGGTACCCTTAAACACTATCTTAGAAGCTTCCGTTCTTACTATACCAAACTTTGTGCCAGCTGAATATTTTCTCTTGGGAGCTGCTTCAAAGCCTAAATCGAATCGCAATATTATTTAATCAAGCTTGCCATACGAAGATCAGATTTCCTATCTCTGGAAAAACCAATTAGAAGGAGAACATTTTGTCCAAGGCAAACAATTTCTTATTTTCCTTCTTTCTCTTATTGTCTTTGATTACATGACCAAAGAAGTGATCTGAGAAGGGTTATCTGAGAAGGGTCAAGTTTTTAATATAAAAACGGGAGAAGCTAAATTAAATCCCATATATCTAACCCTCCCTCAGGATGTAACCTCTTTCAGGCTCGTCCGAAAAAAGGAAAGAAGAAGATGCAGAGTCCTTTTCAGCCAATTTGATCTTAAGTGGAAGAAAACTGAGTTTTGCTCTTGAGATACGAGCAGGACGAATTGGTTCAACCAATTGATTGGTAAATAGAAAAAGTCACTGCCTATGCAGAGATATGTACCTTTCCCACCAGAACTTCATTAGCATTTGCTCCATACACATCGGCTGTATCAAAGAAGGTGACTCCCTTGTTATAAGCATCCTTAATTATGGTGATACCGTCCTCTTCAGAAAGTGGAGAGTTATAGACACCACTCAAGCCCATGCATCCAAAGCCCAACTTCGATACCTGTGGAAAAAATAAGAAGTGAGTTTACCACTTAGCATTTCTCAGAACATGTAATTTAGACAAAAGGCAGTTCATATCTTCAGGCTCAATGTTGCCAGTCAAGTTGTAAAACTCCGATGTAGGGTGGGATACAAATTTGTCATGGCTCTAGCTATCTCGACTGGCAGATTAGTCCGGCTTGGCTTGATTACTTTGGTACACGAGAGCTTAAATACCAGATAGCATTGACCTCGAGCTTAAAAATGCTTAGGGTGAGCAGCTCATGAGCTCGCTCGAGTAGTTGGATATTTGAGTTTCTCAGTTATACATAAAAGAAGAACATTCATAATATTAGTTCCTATTTCTATTGGACTTTCAGAACACGAGTGTATTCTTGAGCTGGATGACTTCAACTTGAGCTTTGACTAAATTGAGCGAAGAGTAGTTGGGCATACCAAGTTCTTTAGTGAATTGAGCTCAGTTTCCTTGAAAAATCAAGCTAGATCGAGCTCAAGTCCAGTGTCCAGACTCCAGCCTTGAACACTCGAGTCAATTCGAGTCATACTTGAGCACACCTAGACTGTGTCGAGTTGACTTGGCTGTATGAGACCTCTACTTCCATTGTGGACACAAATAAGCAATCAAACATCCATCTTCAATGCTCGCAGCATCGCATAAACCCCCCATTGTATCAGTAAATGCCTAGCAGAGGATTCTACTCATTACTCACTGCTCAGGTTCGTAACTTTCATCCATTAATCCAATGCCCACGTCCCAAATCCCCCAAAAATTCCATAAAGAAATCAACCCATCTACACATTTTCTACAGAGACATCGTCATCAAGAAGCACAACAACAAAAAGTCTAGCCCTTTCAGTACACGCAAAATCAAGAAAAACAACTTTTATTTCTTGGAAATTATTGTAATGGGCACTAAAAATGATCTGGGGTTGCGTTGATTTTACCTCCAGTCCTTGGCTTCCAAGCTTCACTCTTGGAACCTCCGCTCCTGCCATTATTCTCTAGAAGTGTGCTGATGTTTCTCCTTCACTATTTTGAGGGTACCCGCTTCTGCTTTTTGGGCAGGATTCGCGCGATCTCAGAATTGTCCCACTTGTTTGGAAAGTATCTTTATCTTCAAAACAGCATGGAGAGACCGTAGATTTGTCATACCAGGTTTTTTGTCTGGAATGGACTTGTCTTAGAGGCATGGTGCGTACCGGCGAAAGAACTTGTCAAAACTTATGTACGGCACTCAATTTAATGTCAAATTTTTTTTTATCACTTAAGTGCTACTTTTTAAAAAAAACGATCACTTAGGGTGCGAATGGTAACCATTCTGCTCCAGAAATCAAATTCTTGCCAGAAATTGATTTCTGGAGGAGAAATCTGTTTGGTAAAACATGACTAATTCTCGCTCCGTAAATTGATTTGAAGCAATCTGTTTTGATTTGTTGATTTTTTTGCACCTAAAAAATTTAAATTTTACTCAAAGTGGGTGGCACATGTATTATAAGACATTCTGTAAAGTTTTGAAATTTTTGATTTTTTTAATTTTTTTGGGCACTTAAAAAAATTTAAATTTCACTCAAAGTGAGTGGCCACAGGTATTCTAAGCCATTTTGTGAAGTTTTGAATTTTTTATTTTTTTGGGCACCTAAAAAAATTTAAATTTTACTCAAAGTGGGTGGCTACAGATATTCTAAGCCATTCTGTAAAGTTTTGAAATTTTGTATTTTTTTTATTTTTTTGGGCACCTCAAAAAATTTAAATTTCACTCAAAATGGGTGGCCACAGGTATTTTAAACCATTTTGTGAAGTTTTGAAAATTTTTATTTTTTTATTTTTTTATTTTTTTTGGGCACCTCAAAAAATTTAAATTTCACTCAAAGTAGGTGGTCACAGGTATTTTAAGTCATTTTGTGAAATTTTGAAATTTTTGATTTTTTTGGGGCACCTCAAAAAATTTAAATTTCACACAAAGTGGGTGGCCACATGTGTTTTAAGCTATTTTGTGAAATTTTGAAATTTTTGATTTTTTTTATTTTTTAAAAAAAATTCACCAAATTTCATGTTTTTCCCGAAATCTGACTTTTTTTTATTTTCTGGAAATTTTTATGAATTTTTCTAGAATTTTTCAATTTTTATGCATTTTCTGAAAAAAAAAAATTGTGAGAAAATAGGGAGAATGCATTCCGGAATCAAGAAGTTACAAAAAGTAGCTTCTCTTTTTCTTGCCAAAAACTCATTCCGGAATCAAAAATGCATTTTGGAATCAAGAATGCATTCTGGAATCAAGTATTTTTAACAAACGCATTTTTATTCCAGAGTGCGCATGGAATGCATTCCGGAATAAAAATTCTGTTCCGGAATGCATTCCGGAACAGAATGGCGTTTGTTAAAAAATTTCCGGAATGGATTCCGGAGCGATTTTTGCATTCTGGAATAAAAATGCGTTTGTTAAAAATACTTGATTCCAGAATGCATTTTTGATTCCGGAATGAGTTTTTGGCAAGAAAAAGAGAAGCTACTTTTTGTAGCTTCTTAATTTCGGAACGCATTCTCCCTATTTTCTCACAATTTTTTTTTTCAGAAAATGCATAAAAATTGAAAAATTCTAGAAAAATTCATAAAAATTTCCAGAAAATAAAAAAAAGTCAGATTTTGGGAAAATATGAAATTTGGTGATTTTTTTTTAAAAATAAAAAAAAATCAAAAATTTCAAAACTTCACAGAATAGCTTAAAATACATGTGGCCA